CTTCCAGCCCAGATGTGCTAGTTTGACGACTCGTATGTAGGTTTGAGACAGGACAAGTGGAGGATTTCATTTCGATATTCCATGGCCTTTATAAGCAAGGGAGCATCGAAAAGTGCAATGTCTCGACAGAGTTCAGAAGCGCGCTCACTGACTCGTAGGTGATGAATTATTTCCCACTCTACAACTCTTATCCCAAAGCCGAAATGCCGCAAGCCTTTCGCTCCTCGATCGCCATTTCCTTGGAAAACGTTCTGACGTGTATCGTTCATTAGTTCCACTAGTTCAGACCTTAACAGCGACGAACCCAACGTGCCGCGTACACCGGGACGAATCATCCGTATGCGAAGATTAAAAGTCGTGTCAGCGAGGAAGTGTCGAAAATGACAAGGTCTCATATCAAGTGGCAAACGATGTAAACGATCAAGCGACCACCTTTAAAAGACACCCATAGGAAGAAGCGAATGAGACCACTAACAGAATAACTGAAGACCGATTTTTCAAGAGCGCTGTCCTCGTCAGGCTAGGGAGCTAAATCAAAGACTTGGTGGATATTGATAGAAATCTCTCTCAGATGTTGGAAGCTGGAATGAAAGGTAATGAAATGGTGGTCCTATGGCGACTTCCAGATTGTGTCATGCTGACAACTTAAACAGTGTTTGAAGGCACATTGTTCAAGTAGATACCAGATACTTTCAAAAAGAAAAAAAAAGAAAAAGAAAACATTTTAAACACAAAAATCTCATGAGCAGAGTGTCCCACAAATCTGGACACAGGAAATTTCATCAACGATATTTTTTACCTCCACAGATTAAACATGGTTTTGGCGAAAGAAGAAAGAATTCATTTCTTGTTTCTGGTGTATGCTAAGGGTACTCAATGAAAATCACTGATGCAAATCACTTGACTGAACACATAAAGAATATATGCGCTAAAATTGACGGCAATTTAAACTTATTACATCGAATTCGCGTGAATCTTGCAAAGCGCTTCAGCCTGTGCATCATAAATAAAGGAAATCATGTTGAAGATGTTATTTGTTAAAATTACAATTCAATAAAATGTTGTAAATTTCATTTCTTGAAAAGATGCATTTTTCTCAATGTGACCAGATTTAGGTAAACCCTGTGCAATAGAAAAGTTTCTACTTGAGGTCAGATATTGGGATTTAAACACACCCCTAGCCCCAAGTAAAACTCGCACATACGATCCACTGCAAAAAATGACTCCTCACGCTATCCTCTACTTGGACAAGAGCCGGGTCAAACGGGGTTTCAGTTTGCGGAGTCAGCTGGCAAAATGAGAGGGGTCATGTGGTCACAGAAATTGTCTGACAGCTATGACGAGGTTCTCCTATTTGCGTGGCATGGCGCAGAGTCCTATTGCTCGACGTAGGGTTTTCTAGCAACCACCCACTTGCCCCAGGACAGCACTACCTCTTCAAGGCACTTGATTTTTTTTTAAGCATTTCACCCCAAGCAAGGCGGGAAGCCACTAGGACGCAAGGGGTTACAGAAAGTTTAGAGCAAGATCAGATAGGAGTGATAGAAGAAAGGATGAGGGTAGTGGATAGATCAAGGCAACTGGAGATGTCGATTGACATTACACTTGAATAGTTGGAGATTATAGCTATCAGGGAAACTGGAATAGGGAAGGGAGTTCCACAGGCGAGAGGTGCGAGACATGAAGCTATTAGAGTGGAAGAGACGGCTACATTTAGGAGTTTCGACAGTGAGGGGGTGAGAGCGGGATGCCAGCCTCGTAAGGTGCTGGAACTCATGACGTCTGAGAACCAGCGAATGCAGCTCCTCGGAACAATTTCCATGAAAGTATTTGTAGAACAAACAAAGGGAGGCGACAGCGCGTCTGTGAGAAAGTGACTGTAGACGAGACGCCAGGGCAGGGCCAACTACATTGCATATCCGCGTTGAATCTGAGTCCCTATATGATAAATGGAGGCATAACGTCATCATCCATCACCAGTGTTCATTTCACACACATTCGTAATCACCATTACACGCATTTAACTCCTTCTGAATCCTCTGCATTGTCCTTAGATTGACACCCAAACACTAAAGAAATGTTTGTATCTGACCTTCCGGCGCGAATGCCAAGCAGTACAGCATACCGTAAAATGGAATACTGGACGGGGACTTCTCAGTCCTCACGCTCGTGTCTCGATAGACTCCAAAAGCGTGTCAGAGTCGTTGTGGGTGACGAATTATTTTCTACCCTCCAACCTCTCTCTCACAGGCGGGATGTGGCGTATCTCTCACTGCACTATAGCTACTTCTGTGGAAAGTGTTCGGGCCAAATACATTCCTTGGTTCCACCAGTTTTATTCTTAACGCTTAGGACCCGATATGCCACTTACATTGTAGCAACCCCCCCCACATTCCCTCCGTGTTCCATTGATGAGAAGTAAGTTCCAGTCGAACAGCCTTTTCCCGCCAACCACTACTCTGTGGAACCAATTTGCAAGAGGTTGTTTCACCGATCACTAACTTACCCTCCTATCTCCCCTCCCATCTCCCCCTCCTATCTCCCCCCTCCCATCTCCCCCTCCCATCTCCCCCCTATCTTCCCCTCCTATCTCCCCCTCCTATCTGCCCCTCCTATCCACATAAACAGCCTTTTATTCTGTAACCCTTGACTTAAATTATCCCCTGAGCCTTGAATAGGGTTGATCTCACTGTAAAAAAAAAATAATGGTTAAAATTCAAACGCCATATTTTTGATTGAATTTTTTTTAATTTAAGAGGTTTTCTAATTTGTAGTCAATTCCGTGGTCAAGTGAAATCTTAAGAACCCCAGGGGAAATTAGTGGGAGGTGTTTATGAATGATAGGTAAATAATTTTATTAAATTACACCTCGTGAGTTTTCTTCTCTTTATTAATGAATTACAATTGTCTTAATTTAATATTTATGTAATGTCTATTTTAAGAATGACAATCTTCAAGAAATAGAAATTTATTTCATATCTCTATAGGTACCTCCAAACAATCGCTAAAAAAGAACGTAGCATGATGAAAAAAAAGGACCCAAACTTTATAAAAACAAAGCTTTTTATTAAAATATTCATGTTATTATTAAAAGGAATGAACAAAGTATTTTTGATGATTTTATTAAATTTTGTAATCCTTGCTAACATGATCGAAATTTTGGTTAAAAATCTTGTTTTTCTTGCGTCAGCGGGTGGGCCAAATATTAATATTAGAGAATTTTAAAGTCTTTTTGGTCTTAAAACATATCGTGTTGGAAATTCTTGTAGAAATCAAATAATTGTCGGATTATAATAAAATCAGGACTTATTCAATAATGAATGAAATTATTTCTAAAATTTTGTTATTTTTGGAAAATCTTGGTAAAAGTATTTTTTTAAATCTGTTACCCACACTTATTTTATTTTAAGAAATTTTGAGAAATTAGAATTTCAGCCTCTTCATATTTATATTAGTTAAAACCTAGACTCCTTAGAGAAATTAAGTCATCAATTTGTTTTTATGAAACAGAAACTCTATTTACCGAAAATCTGTTCTGAATTGTGAAATTAAAAGTGCAATAAAACTATCACATTATTTAATTAGGAAAGCGTTTAATTGCTTTTATAAATAATATATATAAAGTACACTGTAGTCTTAAGAGAACATATTTTGCTGAATAATGAATTTTTACAAGAAATTTTTAGAAATTTTTAATTCGACTAATTTAAGTTTCAAATATTTTAAAATTCTGTATTAAATACCAATATTTTAAAAAGAATTTTGAATTTTTATGCGTATAAACGTGCCGACTTTTGTATATATGGACGCCCATATACGACATTATTAGAAAATATGAGCGATAATTATAGTAAATTTAAAGTCAAAATATCGAAAATTCAATAAACCATTAGATTAAAGCAATATATTTTAAAGATTAATGAGTACTTAGAATTATATATAAAAGTCGTTCATTTTATATTCGACAATTTTTAAGACTAAATCCTTATCAATCTGTCAAACATGTCAACAGGTTAAATAGACAGCTACTGTCGGGTTAAAAAATGCATATCTGCGATATTTTAAATTTAAATTAAATAATAGTTGTTTCAAATCAGGTTAATTACACTTTAAATCAGTTAATATTCCTCAAGTAAAGTTTCAGAAAATTATATTATATTTTTGGGAGAATTTTAATAAGGAGAATTACATTGTGATCAAAGACGACTATAAAAGTTATTTTAGCAAAAAAAAAAAAAAAAAAAAATCATTCCAGTTAATTTTTTTGAAATACATCAAAGTAATTTGCTTAACGGAAATATTAAATTTAATCTATTAGCTTGAAATTAAAACTAAAATAAAAGCTTCAAGATTTTTTCCCTTTTTAGAAATTCATTTTAAACCTAAGGTATCAGGTATCGCGTTTTTTTTGTTTGTTTTTTTGTGGTGGTGCTTACAGTAGAATACATTTAAAAATGTATTCGACTTATATAAGATTACAATTTTAAATTTCAGTCACAAAACTTACTCTAAGTTAGGATCCATCACTATGTTTCTCTCTCTCTATCTTTCTCCCCTATCTCAATCACTAAACACACACACACACACACACACACACACACACATACATACATGTATTTTTCAGAATGTGATGTATTTAGGGAGGAACAGTACAAAATGGAATCATTGTAGGTTATACATAGTATGGACATAGGAATCAACACTTCATTGTGACTGTCAGTTTCTCGCCTTGAGTGATTGTCAAAACCAAATGGCGCTTTTCATTTTACAAGCCTTCCCTATAGACCACTGGTGCATTAATGAAAGTGGGGTTCTTTAACTAAAAACCTAAGGGACTTAGTGCTAAACAAGAGAACTGGAAAGAGCTTGTGTTTTCCTATTACTACTTCCATTGATCTGCCTCTGGTCTATATATGCAGGTCCCCAAAAAGATTAATAGTACTTGGTCCGTTATGATGTGAAAAAGGCTCTTACTATACAGTGTTGATTTCTATGTTCAGATTCTATCTATCTATCTATCTATCTATCTATCTATCTATCTATCTATCTATCTATCTATCCCAGTATGTTCAAATCTATCTGTCTATCTATCTATCTATCTATCTATGTTCAAAACCTTTCTTTCTCTCTATCAATCATTTTATTTCGAAATATCTATCTATCTATCTATCTATCTATCTATCTATCTATCTATCTATCTATGTTCAAAACCTTTCTTTCTCTCTATCAATCATTTTATTTCGAAATATCTATCTATCTATCTATCTATCTATCTATCTATCTATCTATGTTCAAAACCTTTCTTTCTCTCTATCAATCATTTTATTTCGAAATATCTATCTATCTATCTATCTATCTATCTATCTATCTATCTATCTATCTATCTATGTTCAAAACCTTTCTTTCTCTCTATCAATCATTTTATTTCGAAATATCTATCTATCTATCTATCTATGTTCAAAACCTTTCTTCTCTCTCTATCAATCATTTTATTTCGAAATATCTATCTATCTATCTATCTATCTATCTATCTATCTATCTATCTATGTTCAAAACCTTTCTTTCTCTCTATCAATCATTTTATTTCGAAATATCTATCTATCTATCTATCTATCTATCTATCTATCTATCTATCTATCTATCTATCCCAGTATGTTCAAATCTATCTATCTATCTATCTATCTATCTATGTTCAAAACCTTTCTTTCTCTCAATCAATCATTTTATTTAGAAATTTCTATCTATCTATCTATCTATCTATCTATCTATCTATCTATCTATCTATCTATCTATGTTCAAAATGCCTTTATTTTTTCTCTCTTAATCATTCGTTTCTCTTATGCTGATTTCGAAATCTATCTATCTATGTTCAAAACCTTTCTTTCTTTCTCTCTATCAATCATTTTATTTCGAAATATCTATCTATCTATCTATCTATCTATCTATCTATCTATCTATCTATCTGCAATCAAATACACAATTATACACAAGCATGCGCAAAACACACAACCCAGCTCCGCGAACAAACTCATACATATGTGCACACATATGCACGCACCCCTTAAGATATTTCTGATTGGCATACGTTACGTACGTGTGTGCGCATATTTGCATGTCTAATCCATTTTGCAGACCATAATCTGGGATCACCATTATGTAATTGAGCTCCACGATGGAGTTTACATCTCTTGAACAAACAAGGGAGGCCACTGAGATAGAGTGAAATCGTGAGTAAACAAATAAGTAAATGGGAGATCTTGAAAGAGAGAGATGGGGAGAGCGAGGTTGAGGGAGAGAAGGAAAAACAGAAAGAGAGAGAGAGAGAAATTGAAAGAGAACGAATCGAGGTTTGACAGAGCTTGAAAGGGAGTCCCATATCGAAGAATGGGGTCTGCAAACACAGTGAAGGCACTCTTGTACGCAACTCACCCGAATATACGATTATGCGAATTAACATACACGCACCCCCAATTACATGCACAAACACGTCAAATATATATATATATATATATATATATATATATATATAAAAAAGAAATCAGAGGACTTTTTCTAAACAAATATATATATATATATATATATATATATATATATAGATATATAGATATATGAATATACACACGATTTAGATATTTTTTAATAGACAAAAAAACTATATATATATATATATATATATATATATATATATATATATATAGGAGAATGTAGAAAAGTTCGCATCCCGACACAATTCCAAAGGTCTGCCCAATCTTTTATGTGGCACATTCTTATTTGTACCAAGAACTTCTCACTCCAGATGTCTTTCGGGTATAATCACGTCTACAAATATATATATATATATATATAGTCTGTGTGTGTGTGTGTGTGTGTGTGTGTGTGTGTGTGCGTGCGTGCGTGCGCGCTTTGTTAGTTTTTGATTTTGTCGGCTACACATTATAGTATGGTCACTTGGGTACCATCTGTGAGAAATAGAGCACTATGACGGAAACAGCAAGCTGTACTGCTTGGCATTCGCACCGGAAGCTCCAATACAAACATTTCAGGGTGTTTGGATGTCAATCTAAAGACAATGCAGAGGATTCGGAAGGAGTTAAATGAGTGTAATGGTGATGACGAATGTCTGTGAAGTGAACACTGGTGATGAATGATGACGTTATGCATCCATTCATCCCATACGGAGTCAGATTCAACACGGAGTCGTAAATCAAGTTCCTTGAAGAGGTAGTGCTGTCCCGGGGCAAGTGGGTGGTTGCTAGGAAACCCTACGTCGAGCAATAGGACTCTGCGCCATGCCACGCAAACAGGAGAACCTAGTCATAGCTGTCAGACAATTTCTGTGACCACATCAGCCCTTACATCATCCCACCCGACTCCACAGACTGTAGCCCCTCCCCCTGATTGTTATGCGTGGGGCGCAGTTGAGTAAGAGATCAACAAAACTCCTTGCAACACCAAAGATGAACTGAAAGCAAGGATTATGTTCAGCATTCATCAATTTCAATCAAGGTGACCGCCCAGTAGAGATGCAGAAGATCCCAAAGTTGATGTCAATGGCGATTTTATTGAATGAATTTGCTCTTTACTTTTGCCAGATATATTTATGGAATTTTGGTAAATATATCTGTTAAAATGAGATATCAATTTTTATTTTCCTTTTTGTGTAACTTAAACGATAATTTATCCATCGCATCCTGCATAACATATATATTCGAGTACATGGGTGAACGTGAGTATGGGAGCTATACTTTTATATATATATATATATATATATATATACAAACACATACACACACACACATATATATATGATCTTTATGATTGGGTGTACGTATGTGTATATCTGCATGCATATTTGAGTATGTGTGTGCCTGTATTTCTAGTTATACGTACATAATCATATTTCAACGCATGCATGTGCATACGTTAATACTTACGTGTGTTTATATATATATATATATATATATATATATATATATATATATGCATCTGCATACATATATTAACATCATTTGTAATATATATATATATATATATATATATATATTATGTGCGTTTTTGAGCGCATGTAAGTGTTAAAACACTCGTATCTGTTCGGGAGCTTTGGGACTTTTATCTCTCAACATCAAAGGGCCAGCCAAATAAAATAACCTTGATGACCTTTCCACTTTGGTTGCCTGGTTAAACAGAAGAATGATGAAATACGCACGCACACACACACACACACACACACACACACACACACACACACACACATATATATATATATATATATATATATATCCATCTCTCCATCTCTCTCTCTCTCTCTCTCTCTATATATATATATATATATATATATATATATATATATATATATATATATATATATATGTTCTGTAGTTATAAGGAAAGATTAAAGTGTTAGTCTTGATTGAGAGACTGTTTCGTATGAAACGGCCGTTAGATCGATATATTTTTCAAAATTAGGGATTAGAACAATCTTGAAGAGCTCTCTTCTTTTATTCCATGTCTCCAGTTACCAAACATTGAAAATAACCTATCTCATTAGCAGACGGTTTTGAGAGGTTCGTCACAGTGTGAATTTTACCGGTGTTGACGTAGACCCAGTTTCGTATTGAAAGACGCTTACCAATTCTGGAATCAGTGCAACAAACATGGACATTCGCAGGCACACAAAAGCACGCTCTTCGGCGCAAACGTATCTTCGCACTCTCCCCCTTTCTCTCTCTTTTTGTTTCATTTCTATTCAGGCCCTGGGGGAAACGTCGTTCCACACGACTTTCTCTCTTTTGATTTTCTATATCTGGTTTGCATGCTTTTGCGCCTATCCATTTGCACAAACTTGTAAAATCCATTATTTGCTGCTTCTGTCTGCTTTCAAGTCTGATGCGCATTGCGAGTGTTGAATTCTTTAAACCGTATTCATATTTACTTGAAATATTAGCAATGTTTCTTGGTAACTCTTAATCATAGAACATTTACCACATGCTTTAACCATGATATTCCTAGCACTGGTCCCAGGTGTTTCAAATCATTTTTAAAATTTTTTTTTAGAATTTATAATGTTTTTGAAACACGCGGATTCGTTTGGAAATTGTCGTTAACATTTTTGTCGGGATTTACAAACTCTACATTTCCGCAAAACCATCATTGAAATATAAAACTTAAAGAAAATATATGCAAAAAACAATATTACATTTTTTATTAAATAAGTATTTCTTATTTTAATCATTAGATTCTTCTTAATATAGTGGTGGTATTATGTATGTTAAATTATAAAACTAAATTTTCCCCAAAATTTAAGAAAATTTATTGTCCTAAGCTACCCTAGTAAAACCAACATTACTTTGCACCCCTTGCATGTTTGCACTTCTCCCCAAAATGTGGTGTCGTTCGATCAATGTATGGCTATTTTAGAGGGCGTGAGAACGGACTAACGGAAGTTACAGAATTTTATATATAGATTTTCCAGCATTCATTATCATATAATTGTTTAGACATTATATAGCTCCAACGTTGTTAGTAACGTCTGATAAGAATAAAAAGACTAAAATTTTCTACGTAAAATTATAGTTTATTCCCTTTGGGACAAAATTATATTTCCATCGGCCGTGGACGATATTTGAAGGTTCGGGGACTTATTTCGAACGTTCGATCTTCTTTCCAGAATGTGAAGGTCCTTAACTCTCTCGTCGTGGTTCAGAATTTGATAGAATTTTGATAGAATTTGATTTTTCGGGAACTTGCTTCGAACGTTCGATCTTCTTGCCAGAGTGTGAAGGTCTTTACTTCCCTCATCGTGGTTCAAAATTTGATAGAATTTTGATAGAATTTGATAGAATTTTGATAGAATTTGATTTTTCGGGAACTTGCTTCGAACGTTCGATCTTCTTGCCAGAGTGTGAAGGTTTTTACTTCCCTCATCGTGGTACAAAATTTGATAGAATTTTGATAGAATTTGATAGAATTTTGATAGAATTTGATTTTTCGGGGAATGGCTTCGAACGTTCGATCTTCTTGCCAGAGTGTGAAGGTCTTTACTTCCCTCATCGTGGTACAAAATTTGATAGAATTTTGATAGAATTTGATAGAATTTGATTTTTCGGGGACTTGCTTCGAACATTCGATCTTCTTGCCAGAGTGTGAAGGTCTTTACTTCCCTCATCGTGGTACAAAATTTGATAGAATTTTGATAGAATTTGATAGAATTTTGATAGAATTTGATAGAATTTTGATAGAATTTGATAGAATTTTGATAGAATTTGATTTTTCGGGGACTTGCTTCGAACGTTCAATCTTCTTGCCAGAATGCGTAGATCACTACTTCCCCACTTCGTAGGTCAGAATTTTGATAGAATTTGATTTTTCGAGGATTTGCTTCGAACGTTCAATCTTGCAAGAACATGAAGCTTTTTACTTGCCCTTTCGTGGGTCAAGCTTTATATAACTTTTGTATGTATAACCTTAAGTTCAGCTGAGTTGACTTCCTGTTAAGTTGGCACAGCCACTGACATCCTTTGAGGGTCGATCCTACACCTTGTGTCTATAAGTCATTCAGGTTTCATATTTTTTTATGTTATAAGGTGGTACCTAGTACAAAACAAGTTTGGTATCTCGTAGGGTGAGCTCAGTACATGTTGGGTCACTGCAGATCGGGTCCTCTTTGATGAAAGCTTCCTGATTGATATTAAATTTGATTCAGAGCATCTGGTATTTCCTGGCGTGAATCAGTTGCTACATAGCAATACAACCTTCGTTTTTAATGGTATTTTCGTACCTTTTTCTATTTCTGAAAAGTCACTTTAACTTTTCCTAAGTACATTTGGATTTCTCCATCAAACCTTTCTTTGTGTTATTAGTGTTCAAATTCTATGTTCCTTAATGTTGTAGTAGGATCCACCTAATTTGCATAGTGGAGTACCGACCATATGAATATGGTTGGCACCGGGAAGAGAAGGAGGAATCAAGTGATTCAACCAGAGATTCTGCCCGACAGGGACTCAGTCAACACATTCTCCAGGAACGGTCTTACCAGGAATATACAAAAGACTATATGTAAATATTGTGTACACTTTCTTGTTTCAATACATTTTGTTCTAAGTACATTTTGTGTTGCATTATTATTCCATGCATTAGTCAGGTTTCAACACTTAAGAATGTAGATGATTACAACACGGAAAAGAAATTGAAAAGTACCCTACAGAAGGTAGCAACAGAGAGTGAGAAGAAGGGACTAAGCATAAACTACAAGAAAACGAAGTGTATGGTCGTCATTAAGAGGATGAGCCAGAAATGCGGTCTGAAGGTCGGGAGCATTAAAATCAAGCAGACGCGGAAGTTTATATACCTGGGAAGCGTCTTGACAGAGGACGGTAAATGCGACACTGAGATCCGTAGGCGTATCAGGATGGCTAATGACATATTTCAGAAGTTGGGCAGAGTACAGCGTGACAGGAGGATATATTTGGTAACAAAGAAAAAAATACCGAACTGTTACGCGACATATGTACTTTTTTACGGCAGCAAATGTTAGACAATTTCCTCAAAGATGAAGAGACGACAGAGATGTCGTTCTAGAGAAGGATGCTAAGGATATCCTTGGCCGAGCGTGTGAGCAACGATGAGTTCTTAGAGAGGTTGCAAACAAGGAGGAGGCTTGCACTTAATATCAGAAAGAGGCAGCTGAAATTTCTAGGACGCATAATGAAGAAGGAGGGCCTGGAGAATCTGATACTGACGAGTCGAATAGAGGGAACGAGAGACAAGGGAAAACAACGCGTGACATACCTGGCGGACTTAAGTGGATGACAGAACGTGGTTTGTGGGAGGAAGCAGCGGGTAGGAACTTTTTGAGAGCTGCAAGGGATAGAAGGAGCTGGAGAGCCATGATCGCCTACGTCGTGAAAGGACATGGCACATAAAAAGAAAAGAAAGATATTCGTTTTGCATTGCTTTGTTGTAATTATATATAGATTACCATGAAAAAGAGTTGGGTGGCTTCCTGTTGTAGTCTCCATAGTTTTGAATTAAAAGTAGACTTTATGTTTAGACTGACTGCTACCAAAGTCTAAACAACCTGTTTTTTAATCCTTAGCTGAACAAAAAGGAGAAAGAATGCAGACGCTAGACATTCGTCTTCTATGTGCTGTGTACTTTCAGCAAGTTGGTGATCATAGTTCTTCCCTATTTTATATCCGTTGTAGTTCTTAATAAATTTGGTCTTTTTTTAATCTCTCCTAAACCTTTTTTACCATCGCTCGATAGCTTATGACTTGTCCATTTTTTATCTTTAATCTGTCATGTGAGTATTATATTTTCCGTTAATCATTAAAGAAGTCATGTATATATTTAAAAAAATAAAAATTCAGCGAGTGTTTAAAGAATGATTTAAACGCCATTTTAAATCCGCTTACAAATGGCGTGGGGCTTTTTCATGTGGTGTTAGAAATGCCCTCATGTTACCTGCAAACACGTTACTTTCTATAACAGGAAAGTTGGCCCGCTGTGTCGTGTCAGAAGATTTTTCTTGTCAGAATCAATCTTGCACATTTATAAAATCTACCGTTCGTCCGCACATTGAATATTGCCGCCATATCTGCTCTGTTGCTCTTGATATCTATTTCGAGATTCTTGACAAAATTCAAAGAAGGGTCTGGTTGGTTCTGATTTGGCATCTCGAATTCAGTCACTTTCGCATCAATGTGACATGGCTTCCTTCTGTCGTTTCTACACATATTTTCAGGGCATCTGTCCTGATGAACCTTTTCCCTCTAGTGCCTCGACTGTATGAATTTAAACGTGCTACTAGATTGGCAATTAGGTCTCATCGTTTTATTATTTGTTGTAACCTAAGAAGGGCTACTGAATGAGGAATAACCAAAACGGAGGTTTGAAATGGAATGGTAATTTTTTAAAACAACAACAAAATACAATTCTCGTCAGCGGTGTGATGTAGGTAAACCACTGCTAGACAGCATATTATTGCACCCCCACTTACAATAGTGTCCAACGTATTTATGAGGATAGGGACATACCCATTAGTGTTCATAACATAGACAAATAATAATTATAATAATAATAATAATAATAATAATAGAGAAATTGTCCAAAAACAAGGACCTGGATATCGAGATTAACAGGATGTGGGGAATGAAGACTTAAACTGTACCAATAGTAATCGGAGCCCTGGGCCTCGTAAGAAAAGGAATGGACAGTTTTACTAACAGTGTCCCAGGTAATATCAGCATACAAGTTGCCCAGAAAATCGCCCTATTAGGAACATCTCATATACTAATAAAAGTGCTATCAATTAAATGACGATTTTACTATAGGGCCTTAGAACCATTGTTTGGACCCGGCTCTACAGGATACAAAACAGGAAACATAACTGTTGTAACCTCGAAAGGGTTACTGAATGAGGAATGATCAAAACGGAGGTTGGAAATGAAAATGGTAATCTTTATAACATCAATAAAATAAAATACTCGCCAGCGGCGTGAAGTAGGTAAACCACTGCTAGTAGTGGACTACTTAGACAGCATATTACCCTTACTTACAATAGTGTCCAATGTATTTATGAGGATTGGGACATATCCATAGTGTTCATAGGTACAGTATATAACAGTAGGTGATCATGGCTCTTCACAACTTCCTATCCTTCGTATCTCTAAGTAATATTTCTCTCTTTACTCTCCTTCCCATTCACTGCTCTGCCATCCATTTACACAAGCTAATTGGGTAGGTGTTGTAACCTAGAAAAGGGTTACTGAATGAGGAATAACTAAAACGGAAGTTGGAAATGAAAACGTAAACATTTTTGCCGTAGGAAAACTCCTCTCAGGAATTTTCGCCATGGGAAACTTCGCCGTATAGGATTTTTGCCGTAAGATAATTTCGCCGCATTTTTTTTCGCATATTTAGGTATTTATAGTGAATTTAAAACAGTTTATGTTTGCAAATAATTTTTTTTACTGGGTACCCTCTAGATCAGATATACTGATTAAAGACTGCAAACAAAAGATGCTTCCTCAAAATACGGAAGTGCCATCAGATAAAAATATATTTGTGATAGCATATGACAAAAATAAATAAATTTAAGCAAAATATTGAAGACAATTTCGCCGCATTTTTTTTTCGCATATTTCAATATTTAGGTATTTATAGTGAATTTAAAACAGTTTATTTTTGCAAATAATTTGTGTAAATTTCAAAAGACTTACTGAGAGCTTGAAAAGGGTTATCTTTTGTTGATCAGATATTTTATATTGAAGTTAGTTGTGTATACAAGTTGTAAGTTTGTTTGAAATAATATATATTGTTTCAGTGAGAATTATTAGCAAACTGATATTATGTTAACAGAAAGTTTAACGCTTAGTCTGAAATATGAAATTACGTGACGTATGTTCTGGTGTCAAGTTGAAATTTTTTCGCTCCTCACTGGCGAGGATGAATGATGTAGGATTTTGATCCTATAAATTCGCTTATTAAAATGTTTAAATCGAAGTAACAAGAATGTGAGCCAGATAAACAAGGTACTTCGCATATTTAAAAAAAAAAGGCGGCAAAACAAATAGTCTTACGGCAAAAATCCTATACGGCAAAGTTTTCTACGGAGAAAATTCCCGAGAGAAATTTTTCTTACGGCAAAAATGTTTACGGCGAATGTTCCTAGAACCATAACATCAATCCTCTTATATGGCAGTATGCAATGTCTTCACAGGTAACTGGAGACCATAAAGATGTGATACAGAAGGATACTGAGAATGCCATGTACGCAACATTTGTGCAGTGATTAAGTTTTCAGGAAAATTGAATCAAACATGACACTTCTAAATAGAATCAGAAAAAGACAATTTAAATTCTGGGAAGATAAGATGAGAAAAGAGGGCTTAGAGAATTTAACACTCACAAGACATAAGAACGGGAAAAGGAGAAGGCAGCTGGTCTGACGTGCTTGGGTGAATGGATTTCAGAAATGGGGTCGAGAAGCTTTGACAAAGATGCAAATATTGCTAAGAGGCTCAAGATATAGGAGATTGTGGAGCGCCAAGATTTATTAATGATTTTAGAATAGTGATCAGGAGCGTGATATCAAAAGCAAAAGAAGATAGAAGAAATATTACTAATCATTTTTATAGATGACTTTTCTGCCATGAGCTGGCATCTTGTCTAACGTTAAAAAATGGATATATTTCATCATCATCATCATCCTTCGATCTCCCTATGGTTGGTCGGAACTCCACTGACAATCCCTAGTTCAGACCTGCATTGCTGTCCCCAGATACCCAATGTCCAACCCTGATCCCCGAGCTGTGTCTAAGAAAGTCAATTTTCGTGAGAAGACATTTCCAGAAGGATGCCATAGGAGTAAGGGTGGAACGAGATCACTGTCCGCTTGGTGGCAGTGGCCTGCAGACTGTAATTATTTTGTGTACTAAACTAGCCCAAACGTGGGTATCGTAAATTTGTGCTTTTATACAACAATATAAAAATGTAATGTTGGCTTCCTAAAATCCAAATGTTGTGAATAAATGAAAATTAAATGTAAGAATAAAAAAAGAGAGAGAGAGATACGCGGTTTTATCTACAGGGTACCCAGTAAAAATGCAGTGAATTCAGAAGGAAGTTTATTTATCTATCATGATTCATGATAAATGAACAATCATCGTAGATGTTCGAAATGTGTGCCTGAATGTTCAACACAAAGCGCGGTAACCAGGAGGAGGCAGTAGCTTTGCGGATCGTGTCTAGAGGAATTTCAATCCAAGTTTCAGTTACGTTTCACTTCAATGAATCAATATCGACGACGGTTTTCCAAGTGAGTTAGGAGTATACTAAAGATGCAGTCATCCATAACATTAACATCTGAGCTTTTAGAAGGCCACTGAGATGAACCAATTAGAGTTGGTGTGTTTTCTCGAAGAATAAATTTGCCACTTTTTTTTACTGGGTATCCTCTAGATCAGATATACTGATTAAAAACTGCAAACGAAAGATCCTTCCTCAAAATATGGAAGTGCCATCAGATAAAAATATATTTGTGATAGCATATGACAAAAATAAATAAATTTAAGCAAGATATTGATTGTTTCCTTTTCTACAAATTATCAACCTTTTTTAATGGTATAAAAAGAAGAAAAAAAGAAGCTGAAGAAGAAGAAGAAGAAGAAGAAGAAGAAGAAGAAGAAGAAGAAGAAGAAGAAGAAGAAGAAGAAATGTAAAGATGGAAAAATAGCTCGATTTTTTTCAGCATGTTATAACAGGGGGGGTCAGTAAAAAGGCAGTAAATTCAGAAATAAATTTATTTATCTCTAATGATCCACAAACTGATCAATCATCGTAGATGTTCGAAATGTTTACCTGAATGTTCAACACAAACTTGTAAGCGCGGTAACCAGGAAGAAGCAGTAACTTTGCGAATCGTGTCTAGAGGAATTTCATTCCAAGTTTTAGTTAAGTTCCACTTCAATGAATCAATATCAACGACGATTTTGCAAGTGAGTTAGGAGTATACTTCAGATACAGTCATCCATAACATTCTTTTAGAGGGCCACTGAGATGGACCAATTACAAATGGCGTATTTTCTCGAAGAATAAATTTGCCGCTTTTTTTTTTACTGGAAATCTCGCAAAACACTTTCCGCCATCATTTTAGTGGCATAATATCGTTATGAATTCGTTACCACATCTCCCTCGTCAAACCCAACAATTTTGCAGGCAAAACTTCTTATAAAAAAAGAAGACGGTGACAAATGACGCCATTAAAGAAAGTATCGTGTTTGCGGGTAACATGAGGGCATTTCCCAGACCACATAAAAAAGCCCCGCGCAATTTGCAAGCAAAATGCAAATGGCGTTGAAATCATTCTTCAAACACTTATTGCAAATAAAACAAAATCCTAAAGAAAAAAAAAAATAGAAAACTTATGGCTCCTTTTAATCTTCAGTCTCTCCGCCCCTCTTAAACAAATTCCCAAAAGAAGGGAACGTGGAAGCATTGATTATTTGCATTGTAAATTTGTTTTATTATATTTTATTTTGTGCCTCGACGAGAAAAGGCGAGAGACGAGCCGGGATTTGAAAAAAGGAGGAAAATGTCTCCATTTGCCGATGTCGGTTGTTAGTTGAATTGTTGAATTTGGCAAATAATTTGAAGCCGGGTAGAGTGGGGGTGTGTCGTCACAGATCATTTTCGCAAACAGAAGAGGGGTAAATCAATTCTGAATTAAGAGGTATTATGAGAATAGCAAGAAAAACGAGGTGTTGGTTAAGAGAATAGAAAAATAGAGGATCATTTAAAAGTGTAAAGAAAGAAAGAAAGAAAGAATGAAAGACAGACAAGAAAGAAAGAAAGAAAAAAGAAAGAAAGAAAGAAAGAAAGAAAGAAAAAAAGAAAGAAAGAAAGAAAGAAAGAAAGAAAGACAGACAAGAAAAGAACGAAAGATAGGAAGAAATAAGCAGATACGCAAAGGAACACAATTAGAGTAGGAAAGAAAAAAAAGATTAGAAGAAAGATATGGAAAAGAAAGAAAGAAAGAAAGAAAAAAAAAAAAAAGAAAGAAAGAAAGAAAAAAAAAAAGAAGAAAGAAAAAGAAAGAAAAAAGAAAGAAAGGGAAAAACGAAAGATAGGAAGAAATAAGCAGATACGCAAAGGAACACAATTAGAGTAGGAAAGAAAAAAAAAGAAGATTAGAAGAAAGATATGGAAAGAAAGAAAGAAAGAAAGAAAGAAAAAAGAAAGAAAGAAAGAAAGAAAAAAAAGAAAGAAAGAAAGAAAGAAAGAAAAAAGAAAGAAAGGGAAAAAACGAAAGATAGGAAGAAATAAGCAGATACGCAAAGGAACACAATTAGAGTAGGAAAGAAAAAAAAAGAAGATTAGAAGAAAGATATGGAAAGAAAGAAAGAAAGAAAAAGAAAAAAAAAGAAAGAAAAGAAAGAAAAAAAAAAAAAAGAAAGAAAGAAAGAAAGAAAAAAGAAAGAAAGGGAAAAAACGAAAGATAGGAAGAAATAAGCAGATACGCAAAGGAACACAATTAGAGTAGGAAAGAAAAAAAAAGAAGATTAGAAGAAAGATATGGAAAGAAAGAAAGAAAGAAAGAAAGAAAGAAAGAAAGAAAGAAAGAAAAGAAAGGAGAGAAATGGGGAGAAGCATCAAACTAGTCTACATTAATAGGGACCACCAGTCGTCACCCAACCCATCATATTTAGGTTTAATCATTCTCTATATTTCGATTCCATTCCGAAATGTCTTGTTCAGATTCTAGGAAGTGCGTGGGCGGTGAACTTTGAGGTTCAATTCGTATTCGATTTGAACAGAGAGATGCTATGTGCTTATCTGAAAAACGTGATGTTTTAGGACCACTCTGAGCATAGATGCGAGAAGTAAGTGACACTCGAACTGCCTCTCCCCGCGAATCACTGCTCTGTGGAACCGACTCCCAAGACGATGCTTCCCAGATCACTACAATCTTAATCTGTTCAAGTCTAGGATTAACCTTTATCTTCCTCTCCAATCCGCATAAACTGCTTCTTAATGTAATCCTAAAGCTAGGGTGTCCCCTGGGTCTTGTACTGAGTGAACCCTTAAAGATAAAAGATTCGAAAATCAGATCACCTAGCTTCATTTATGTGGGTAACCGGTTACCCAGATAAATGAAGCTAATTGCGTTGATTTTCGAATCTTTTATTTTTAAGGATTCACACTGTACAAGGACACATGGTTTAGTGTATAAAAGCATTGGTTGGATCCTGTGACGACCCAAAGAGTTGTGAGTTCAATACATGTTTACGGCAGCGGTGAACAAAAAAAAAAAAAAGAAAAGAAAAATTGGAGCGTTGAGTTAAAGGGAGATAACTAAGACATCCGTAAGTGGTATGGCACGTAGAACTAGAATAATTTACCCCGGTGGACCCAATAACGGGTTCAGTTCGAAATTTCAATCATCTGAAGAAGGCCGGAACGTACAACGTCCGAAATCTCATGAAACATGACAATAAAGATGAAAAGAACAGTCCGAATAATGTAAATATTTTTTTTTACCCGGTCTAATTTATGTAAGAGAAAGATAACATCAATCGTGCAGTTGTGCCTAGCAGTGAGTAATTTCGACTTCGAATTCCGAATCCGCGTACTCGATTTTACCAAGCAGTTCATTCAATATAAACTAACGCCATCTTGTTTTCTTTTACAAAAATAGGATTGTTCTTTTTTCTTTCTGTAACTAAAAACGAAACGATAGAAATAACAGATTTGTGCGGATGATGTATAGAATCTTGGATTAGTTTTCACAGTTCCACATTCATCCATTATTATATTGATTTAATCCTTGTAATTCTTTTTTCATTTTTCTGCCATATAAATATTAGTCCCATTTGAAGTCGAACAAAATGGCGACCATTTTTTTTATATATATACAAGAAGTGTTTGGAGATTCATTTGAAAATCGCCAAATGATCCTATGATCAACAGTCAGAACAATGTTAATAATGTAAATAAAAACCATTTCATTTTAATGTTTGTTTAATGAAGTCTCGTGTTGTCGCCAAGTAAATATTTCTCGTTAAGAATACGTTTTAGAACCATTTACATCGTTCACACACAATTTATATAAGCGGCAGGTAAGTAGATTGTTAAACGCGGGACGATACGGTGTTTATGATAGATGTAGAGTTGAAAATCCAAATAATTTAATTGTTTTATATCATTCACAATTCCATATTATGTTCCGATAAATTACTTCATAAATTATGGTTTGGTTTATTTTGTTTTACGGCATATCAACCTCAAGGACTTATTTAACGCCGAAAAATATCAACCCCTCCATGGGTTATTTATTGCCGACAATTTTTTTTTCATTTTCAAAAATGTATTGCTGGTAACATTTTTTTCTTCGAAAATCTATTTCTGGTAATATTTTTGCCTTCAAAAAATCTATTTCTGGTAATATTTTTTTTCTTCAAAATGTATCGCTAGTAATATTTTTCTTCCAAAATATGTAAAAAAAAATAAATATTTTCAAAAATGTTTTGCCGGTAGTAATGTATTGTTGGTAAAAACTTATTACCAGCAATATATTACTACCACCAAAACATTTTTGAAATAAAAAAATTACCAGAAGTAGATTTTTTGAAGGAAAAAATATTTCCAGAAATAGATTTTTGAAGGAAAAAAATCTTACCAGCAATACATTTTTGAAAAAAAAAAATCTTACCAGCAATAAAAATTGTCGGCATTAAATTGGGAGGGTTAATATGCCGTAAAACAAACTAAACCAAAACCAAAAACCCTTATTTAGAAAAATACATCAATGCAACCTGATTAATAAACTGATTTCTTACAAAGATATTCTATTCATACGAAACTACCCTAAAAATCTGTCGGCGTTAAATAAGCCCTTCAAAAATATATTGCTGTAATAATTTTTACACAGTATTTCTGGTATTAAAAGCTATTTTTACACTTTTATACTATTTTGACGACAGTTGGAGGGTAACTATTTGCCCATAGCTGGGACCCTACCAGGTGCTACCACCTCGGGTCAGGTTGGACTTGAGAACACCAGCAATTAAGAGGTGGTTCCACACTGCTCAAAACCTCCTGATCAAAGGCCTTGCTGTCGGATGTAGTTTATCATCTTACACAGGATGCGGATGTATTTTATTGTCATACCCAGGACGGAAGGGTTTTTGTCTAGAGTAAAATGTATTTCGGGTAATATTACGTTTCCAAAAATGAATTACTGGTATTTTTACTACAAAAACCTATTTTTAGACTTTCATAGTGTTTTGACCCTAGTTTGGGAGTTAAATATTTGCCCATAGCTGGAAACGAACAGTATTAATTTTATTTAGTGTTACCGAAAAATTTGACAAAGATGTATTAATTTTTTCTTAAACCAGTTATTCAAAAATATATACTATAATATTTACCACGTGAACGACGATGAAAATAAAATGAGAACGATATGGTATATAATTTTGTTTTTTGCGCAGGGGGTTCTTCAGACATGTCATTTATTTTAAGGGTTACGCAAGGGTAAAAAGGTTGAGAAACATTGGTCTACACATTAGTTTTGCGTATTTTTCCGTGAATTCTTAAAACTTCTTAGGAAAAATAGTAGTGAAGTTTCATGTTACCTTTTGCGCAGTTTTTGAATTCAGAGTTGCTCTTCGCCTAGGCTGGCCGCCATGTCTATTAAGAACGTAGGCGATAACGGCTTTTCACAGTTTCCTTTTCTTCATTATCTGTGAATTGCTATAAAATCTTTAGAAATATAGTGAAGTAATCTCCCCTTGCATTCTCCACGTTTTTTATTATTATTTATTTTTTTTTTTTATTAGAGCTGTCCTACTCCAAGGCCGGCTGTCATCTGAGACTCGGAATTATCTATCATGCTATTTAACCCATAGCTAGAGGCAAAGTAGAACAGCTGGATTCAGGTGAAGACAGCCGATTAGACAGAAACCTGAACTGGGTTCAATGACTCCACTTATGCGTCAATAGCCGTTATGTTAACTTCACACCCTTTATGATGACAGAATTCAAATTTCTGAGATGAAGAATTGTTAGTTGTTGATCTCATTTTTGTTGCTTTTTTTTCAACGTCTAACTCGCCCTCAATATTGAAAAAAGCGCCTGTTGTAAAAGAAATAGAATTTCTGAGTTGAAACGTTAGAAATCAGAATGCAGACTAACGTGACGTAATGGCGACCGTAATGGCGACCGTAATGGCGACCAAAGCTTGTTCAGTTCGATTCTCTCTTAGTACTCCATACTTTCGGCTTTGCTGTATCTAAGCTACTCTTAGAAAATAGTTAAAGTCACCTCGGCGTGGTGCAATGTTTAGCACGTTTGTCTCTTTGGAAAAATTACGGCTGAGTAATGAGTTCGATCCTCGCTACACACAGTCAGTCAGTTAAATACCATACATATACAATCATGTAGGTTGCCATTTCTTTCTGCGGTAAACAGGTTGCGAACCAAAGCTAAAGAACCCAGTCTGTCTTGCTATTCAGCCCATAGCTGGTAGGGATGGACTCATACCTTTCCCAGGTTTATCTGTGTGTAAGTAAATCTAACGAACTTGACTGGAATTCGAACTCCGAGCCGATATCGGTTACATCACTACGCATCCAAATTACCCTAAGAAAATAATTTAAGGTACCTCGAAATGGTGTAATGGTTAGCAATCTTGTCTCAGTAGAAAATTACGAATGAGTATTGAGTTCGATACTCACTGGGTGCCACATAATTTCGGCTTTGTGCCACATCTAAGCAATGCTTAGAAAATCGCCATAATGAGTCTAAAGATTACCTAAGTCATCTCAGTTATCCTTCATATAGATTAAAGTCCAGAGTTCGATCTTAACTGGATTCTCCATTACTTGTAGGAAACAGAATTTAGTAAAGACAAAGGAAGAAAAACAATATGTAGAAGTGTTTCGGGCTAAAGAAAATACATTTTTCCTAAATTCATTTTCGTTCTATTGAAATATCCACATTTTTAAGGCGTGATCTAATGACCTTAAACCTCACTTAAAATAGATTTCACTTCTTTTTTTTTATTTTTTATTTTTTATTTTTTTTAATCCTAAACGTTCCGGAAGCTGTGTCTTGATAAATACCCATGTCATTAAGTTTCTATGTACCTTATATCAGCGTGAATACAAGAGTGTACCTGTCGCCACCCGCAACTACCTGTCGCCATCCGTAACTATTTTTTTTTTCTCATCATTCTTCAGAGTCTCCAAACACCTACCCTCCCACCATCTGTCTTTTCGACTATCGCCAGACTCGAACCGTTCACCACTTCCTTGTAACACCTTTAGAAATTCTTTTTATTTTTTTTTCCTTCATTTTTTTTTTTTTTTCGCTTTCATTGCTTCCTTGTTTTTAGAGTCTCCTCAACAGGTTTTTTTTCCCACAAAACTTTCTGTTCGTTCCTCTGATGCCCTTACTTTTATGATTGACACACCTCCTGTTTGTGTGAACTGTTACCTCAAGACTTGCTCCCTTTTCTTTCTTTTCTCTTTTTTTCACACACACACACACACACACACACACACACATTTTTGTGTATAGGTGTGTTATTGGGCATATATTTACTAAAGTTACCTTCGTCTGATATCTAATTTTCAGAGAGGATTTGGCGA